TTCTCGTCCCATCGCTCCTCTTCCGCCATCCTTAAATATCCTGCGCAGGTGTGCCGCAGGTCCCAGAGACCTGACAGAGACATGCGGACACATCTGTGCATGGGTCTGATTGATTGCAGAGTGTTCATCATCCTCGATTTGTGTTCCCCAACCACTCCGCCGCACCGACTGACGGGAGAGGAGGCCACACGACACAGTAAAGAGGAACTTCTTCCCCCCCGTGATATTCTCATCCCACCGCTGCGTGTCAGCCATACTTGCATACCTTGTGCAGATGAGCCGCAGGTCCCGGAGACCCGCACATGTGTCTGATTGCTTGCAGAGTGTTCATCATCCTGGATTTGTGCTCCCCAACAACTCCACCGCACCCCCTTTCCTGCCCTGGCAGGCCTGTGTTCAGATCAAGGGTCTGGTATGCAATTTTAGGGGGGACCCCACATCTTCCCCCCCCCCCCATTTTTGGTGGTGGGGTTGCTCCTTAAAATTCCTAACAGACATTAAGGGCCTGGTATGACTTTAAGGGGGAACCCCACACACTTTCTCTTTTTTTAAATGGGGTCCCTCCTAACATTCCTACCAGACCTAAAGGGTCTGGTATTGTTTGGGAGGGGGAACGTGTGTGTATGTGTGTATGTGTGTATATATATATACACACATACACTGAGTGGCCAGATTATTATGACCACCCCATCAGTACTTCGTTGGGCCGCCTCGTGACTCCACGAGATGATGAAAGGTGATGCGAGGAATCTGACACGGCGCTGTTGCCCTTCTGTTGTCTTGTACCAGTCTTGCCCCTCCCCCGTTCTGCCCTAACATTGACTAGTCGCTGACGGCCAATAAGACTTTGGAGGGTGTCTGTGGGAATTTGTGTGGCATTCAACCAAAAGACCATCTGTGAGGTCAGGTACTGATGTTGGATGAGAAGACCTGGATGGCAGTCAATGTTCCAGTTCATCCAAGAGGTGTTCAGTTGGGTTGAGGCTCTGTGAAGCCCACATGAGATCCTCCACACCAAACTCCTCCAACCATGTCTTTATGGAGCTGGATTTATGTACAGTCGTGGTGGAACAGAAAAGGACCTTCGTACAAATTGTCACCAAAGAGTTGGAAGTCCACAACTGTCTAAAATGACAAGTGAAATGGAAATCAGCTCAGGAG